AAGGAGTTTGTTTCCCTCGTAAGGGTTTCGACCCTAGTTCACTTTCAATAAGGAATCTAACGGTTGATTTATTGGATTTTGAACCTCATTCTCAGAGTCATTTCAAGGTCAACTAAGTATTAATGTCTAGGGTTAGCGTACCTCTCAATTCTAACCAGGAGAAACAACGACATAGATGTAGAAGGAGTTTGTTTCCCTCGTAAGGGTTTCGACCCTAGGTCACTTTCAATAAGAAATCTCTAACGGTTGATTTATTGGATCTTGAACCTCATTCTCAGAGTCATTTCAAGGTCAACTAAATATTTATGTCTAGGGTTAGCATGCCTCTCAATTCTAACCGGGAGAAACAACGACATAGATGTAGAAGGAGTTTGTTTCCTTTGTAAGGGTTTCGACCCCAGGTCACTTTCAATAAGAAATCTCTAACGGTTGATTTATTGGATCTTGAACCTCATTCTCAGAGTCATTTCAAGGTCAACTAAGTATTTATGTCTAGGGTTAGCATGTCTCTCAATTCTAACCAAGAGAAACAACTATATAGACGTTAAAGGAGTATCCCTACTGGCTGCTTTATTGAATAATGAGTTCTCCCCATCTCTCACTTAACGATGATATAGTTTGACCTAAATTTTACCCGTGAGGATTTCGACCCTAGGTCACTTTTAACAAAGAATCTAACGGTCAATTGTATTTGACCTTGAACCTCATTTTCAGAGTCATTTCAAGGTCAACTCAGTATTTATGTTTAAGGTTAGCGTGCTCTCAATGCTAACCAGGAGAAAAAACGATATAGACGTTAAAGGAGTATCCCTACTGGCTGCTTTATAGAATAATAAGTTATCCTCATCTCTCACTTAATGAAGATTTAGTTTGTCCTTTATTTTACCCGTGAGGATTTCGGCCCTACATCATTTTCATCAAAGAATCTAACGGTGAAAAATGTATTTCTATGTAATTCATTGTTCATATATTTGAAAGTAGTTGTTTTGGAATCAATTGTTTTCCAGTTTGTAAATCTAAACGATTTTCTGTACATATATGATGTACTTATTCAATTATTTTCTTCCTTTTGTTCATAAGTTTTTCACTTTCTATATAATGATGAAGAAGTTGAAAACCAAATTTTGTTCTCAAAAGTCATACAGTTCTTCGTGTCTTCAAACGTAAATGTAAATTATATTGACTAGTATATTGTTGTATGGCGAATGATAATGAAGATGACTTTTTATCTGTTTATAATAGGTGGTGTTTCAATTAGTACGTTATCAAAATGGCGGAGGTGGTAAATGTTTTAGGATTCATTTTGCCGGTAATTCCTATGGCATAGTGAAAATAAACAAAAAAATATGAGCTTCAATTTCCATACCGACATTATCGGGCGAAACAATTATAAAAACGCGTTCATCTCAATTCGCTTAGTCACACAAAACCATAGACAGTATTACAATCAAACCTGCCATTCCGTCACTTTGCTACTAGCTACTAGATACCTTTCCGTTCACATTAGAGATTGACTGTGAAAGCTGGAATAACATATGATTTAAATTATTTCATCTTCCACAAATTGTTTCTTTCTGTAGCTCATTGAGGAAGGATCAACAGAAATAAAGCATTCCATCCTTTTCCAATAATGCTGTCCTCAATCTTCTCTTTCTGAATAGTTGTGACGTCCATGGACGAACCTAACCTAGGTACTTCTCATTTTTTTTAAACCATTATTCATGTTGGTTTCCGAAATCTGATTTGTGTTGTAATTCAATAATATCGTCGAATATCTTCATCACCCTCCTTCGAAAATCCTTTCTTGCACTTTCACTTCCGACCAGAACTCGTTTACGGGCCCGTATATTCTCCGAAGCACGCTCCGATTTTCCCGTCGCTTCCCATCAATCATCATCTGCTTCCTGTTTACATACCAACATCCCTGTAGTATCACTTATGCATGTTGAAGAATATTATGGGGTGATAAACTGCTCCCGGATTTGATCGGCGTTGTGTTTTGATGGAAGTTTAGTATATTTTTTGTTCCGTCAATAATGTTTTGGTGAAGTCATTTCATTTCGATGTGAAGATGAATGAAATATATCGCTTTTGAGATTGGTAATTTTTCAGTGATAGCTGAAACTTATTTGAGTCTTCTTTTGTATTTATTTCATTTATGAAATTCCAGCACATGTAACTACTACCTGGGCTGAAAAGTATCGGGCCTAACACATAGATGGCGCTATTCTTACTGCATTCACCGCTTTGTCAGTTAGTACTAACTTTCGAAAGGAAGCTGTTGAAATTTCATGATATTCTTTTCAAAAACTACACCTCACGATTTGAACTCCACCTTTTTCCTCCGCAGCTGATGTTCCAGTTGAAATATTTAAAAATATTTTCTTGTTGCACATCTACAACATAAAAAGGACCTATATACAAAATTTCAGCCTCTGAAAATATAGCGGTACAGAGAAACCCTCACGGGGGTGCCCCATTTGGAATATCTGAAAATCCTTTCTTAGTGCGCGTCTAAGACTTAAGAAGCACCTATATACCAAATTTTAGCTTCCTAGGACTCACCAGTACGAAGAAACAAAGATGAATGAGTGAGTGTTAGGTGAGTGACTTCCGCATTCATAAGTATACATTATTGTAAATTTATTTTTATGGTGTTATCTCTCACCCTCACAAATCAAAACTTATGCGAGATGATGATTAACGAAGTTTTACCTTTTATCGTGCTGTTCCTAAAGAGATTCTTAACACGGAGTGCTGATGAATGTTTTTCTTTCAGTCCTAGTTGCATCAACTGCGATCTAAGTTAGGTTACAGTCGAACACAACTTTATATTATTTTATATTACTGCATTGAAAACCACATACGCAGTATCAATGCCAGGCACCTGCTGTATACAGACGCTAATGAAGATTACATTCAGCTCACAGCTGGAACAGAATTGCTTACAATTCAATATAACTACTGTTCCTATAGTCAGCTTGGAAACAAGGCAATAGTAATGTCAATCCAGAAAGAAGGACCTTTCCCAATTATCAGAAGTGGAATCACCAGAAATGCAAGACAAGAAAACTCAAGAAGAAGAAGAATTCAAGAAGAAGTTTAACTTCTCATTGGAAAACTGTGTCTGTGCAGATGTGGACCGAAACCATGAGGGGATCTATTTGGATGTGATATGCAGCAAATGTATTTGAGATTTTCGACACAAAAAAATGAGAAGAGTGGAAGCAAGACCGTTTTGCCGATCGCGGAATGAAATTTCAAATAAACATCATCAACCCTCTTGGATTCCGCCGATTGTGTACTCAACTCGGAGATGTATATCGACTGTGCGTGTGTCTAAAGTGGCATAATGGGAATGCCTAGCGGTTGAACAGAGAATGTAATCGATACGGAGCACTTTACTCTGGAATCCTCCCGACGCGGTATCTCCGGGTAGCGAAATATTTAGCTTTGGTAACCTGATACGGGCAACGTGTCACCGGGGCGTTCCGTGGTATTAAAACGATCCTATTGACAATGATGACGGGCAACCGGAGGGCAGTGTTCCGTTTCTCACTGTATGTGTGATATGCCGAATTGGGGTGGTAGGTAGATTGTTGTGGCTTTTCCTGAATAGGGCTATTGATATGTGATACTATAATAATTTGCCATACTCAATGTATGCACTACTTTGTCAAGAAAGTATCGGGAATTGGTTGAAGAAACGCAAAGTATGAATTATTCATCTAAATTTACTGCATCGCCTTACTCGACTTCAGTACTCGCTGCAAATTCCATGTATTCTATCGTCTGAAAACGGGTTTCTCGAAGTGGTAATTTGCGATTTGTAAAAAGAAAAATAGTCCGGAGCCATATCAGGTGAATACGGTGGCTGTTCGATGAAATTTGTTGAGCTTTTGGTCAGAATTTCGTTCAGATTGATAGCCTTGTGGGATGGTGCGTTATCTTGGTGCAAAGTCCATAAGTTTTCTTTCCACATATCTGGTTTCTTTCGACGAATTTGCTCTCTCAAACGTCGCATAACGCTCAGATAATATTATTCATTTACTGTCTCACCCACTGGAAAGAATTACGAGTGCACAACACCGCGGTGATCAAAGAAAAAAAATCAACTTCATCTTCACTACTGATCGACTTTGACGAGTTTTTTCGGATTCGGCTCAGTTGGAAGGTGCCATTTCGAGGATTGTTGTTTGGTTCCCACATCAAATTCGTGTCTCATCACCAGTTACGAAGCGTTTTATGAATATGCGGTCGGAATTAACCCGTTCTAACATATCTTCAGCCAATTTACACCCGCATCGCGTCTCATGATTACAAAATACTTCAAAATTGTACGAACTGATTCGTAAGATGTAGAAATTTCCTTTCTCTTAGACTTGAACAACGATTTTCAGTCACCATTTCCTTTCATTAGCGATATTAAGTTCAGTTGAGGATATTAATGGCCGACCAGAGCGAGGCAAATCTTCCACCACATTTTGACCGCTTTTAAATGTACTGTACCACTCACTCTCACATGTTTTTATAAAGTTATTCACCGTAAGACAAATGCAACATTTTCAGCGATTTGGCACATGCAATTTCATTTGCAATGCAAGATGTAAGATTCTTTGTTCAATACTTTTATCCATTGTTATAATTGCAAAACACGTTTTAGGTCAATTGAGCTCGTAAAGAAGACAGTTGTTCCAATCTGGCTACAAAAATAATTTCGATAATCCGTTCACTAGGGTTTTTTGAATGATCGATTTCTCTTTTGAAAGAATTTAAATTGAGGAAACGAATCATTACACAAGCGTCATCTATAACTTACGCCTTACAAGATAAAACAGCTACTTTTGTACTTACAGCGCCCTATTCCTCTACAAATGAAAAACGAAGACGAAACAGTCAACGTTTGCATTCAATCAGAAAGACACGAATATCGATATTAGGAATAATCTCAGTAATGGTAACATTAAATTCAAAAAATCTCAATAAAGTTTATATCTTACTTGCGAATCGAGGATCAGCCGCTGAACTCTGGTACCATCCGGAAGAATAGTGAGGTGCCAATCCTAAATTTTCAGAAACGGGGCAATACTGCCCGCCTCCGAACTGTCCCATCACGGGATAACCGCCGTTCATACTGCAGCCGCTGCTAGTACCGCCAATTCCAGGAGAGTTCAAGCTACTTCCACTGGAAGTTGATCTGAAACAAAATAATAATTCATTCATGGTTCAAAATAGCAAATATCTAATACATCTCAATGCATTAACGTATTTTGAATTTGCCAAACACTTGCTCAGTCGACAGAGCATTTTCAAACCCGAAAGGCATTCTTAAGAAATTGAAAGTATCCAGCTTTGGCCAGGTTGCACGTTACAAATTAATATTATCATGCATAAGATACATCATTAAATTAGGCATTTAGCAGTAAGTTAGCAAAAAGCAACACATAGCCGCCGTTTTCAGTTTTTGTAGACCTTAAAGTAATTTTTCTTCTACTATTCTATGGCTCTCAAAGACTATCAAACTAATCGGAGACAAGTTTTAACTTTGAAACCATTGCAAAAAACATTCTTTCAAGCAAGGGTGTCTCCCACGAATGTTTATAGAAGGGTTTTCGATTCCCTATCGCTTGCTGCTTTGCTTTTAAAAATGGATCGGCTCATTTAGGAAATAAGGAGTTTTTCAACACCAACAGCTTGTTTTCGGTAAAATACAAAATTCAAATCGATTTTGAATAAAAACCATTATATTATTTCGAATGTAAACCTATGCTTAGTATAAGAAATTAGTCACTGCGATGGGTGTAAGTCGTACAAATGTTCGACGAATATTAAAAAGCACATACACATTGGTCAACCCTCAAGCCTTACTTGCAAATGAAAATGATTCAAACACAACTGTAAAGTAATGAATTTGCTCAACTGTTGTCAAGCAAATAATGATTCATCAAAAAACTTACCTATAAGGTGATGGCGGGTTAGTGGCCAATTCCAATTTCCTGTAGGATTCCTCTATGGGACTGAGGATGTCAGTAACGCTGAAAGGGGTGGAGTGATGGAGCTGTTGTAGGTGACTCAAGACTTGAGGACTCGTCTGATGATGCTTGGGGCTCAAGCTCATAGCAAGTTCGACGCCATTGAGCTCGGGGAGCAGGCCGTGCAGGTCCCCTCTGTCCGATACCACGGGGCCTTCCCCGTAGTTGCCACCTGAATAATCAGAACTGAGAATTTTATAATGCCATGGATGTATGTACAACTGATGATTAATTTTTTTTTTTCAATGAGAGTGTTGTGAGAGTTTATCAGAGTAGACATTAGTTTTATTAACTTTAGAATAGATGAGGTGTCACTCGTGGAGGAAAGATGTATGACAATGAGCCCTTTCAGTGTCACTAATTAACCTTCGAGATACCGGACGCCCTTTCTCGGCGTAGAAAACCTTCTTATGGCGATGCGGGACTCTGCCGTGGTGGACCTCCTCTCCACAGCTACTCTTTGGACCCTTTATCGATCATGAAGTTACCAAAGAATACAACCTTGAATCTACGGAAATATCTGTGAAATCAGATAAAGAGCAAAAACTTCTCAGTTCTCTAACTTTTGAACCTGTCAACAAACCTAGAAGGCTAGGCTCCCTAGGAATCTGTCTTGTACCAAATTCTTGCGCACCAGATGCAGAATCTGCATCAGGAGAGGGCACAACTTCCCCCTGGAGGTCAAGCTCACAACTAAACTGTGATTCACCTAAGCCAAAGGCAAAAACCCTGCATAGATGAATCTAAGTTATCGACAGGTGTTGCTGACTAACAGATGCTCCGATCTTCAAGGTAGGAATCTTGCACCGTGAACATCCGACATTTCATAATGTCATTATGGTTGCCGAGGAGGATTTCCAGAAGATGGTACACAAGTATGATTCCACAGCTGCACACTTCGATCTGGATGGCTGTAGGTTACCTAAGAGAATGAGGAAAGCGTCTGCTGACTGGTCACAGGAGATCTACTTCCTAAGCCACACATTTGTGTTGCTTACCTACCTGACAAAGGTAGCCAAAAACTGACCGCTGATCAGGTCCTCACTAGATTGAAAAAATGTATCATGATCTTTCAACAATCATTAAATATAAGTATAGTGAGCCGAGTTGGTGTCCTTGTTCATCTTTGGCGAGTGCATTGGCTTAGGATGTGGGGGTTGAGCAAACCGGCCATCGGATGCCTGCTTCCACGTAGCCCCACTGGATACGGAAATGACAGAATCACTTGTGGTTCTGTTATTCCCTAACTGAATGGCATCCCGCCGATGGCTTATTCCTAAGGTGCCGAGAGGATGAATGACATTGAGCCTATTAGCTGTCTCTACGGGACCTTTGAGATACCGGACCTTTGAAATGGTGCAGCCAGGACACGACTGAGTCGTCTCCTCAAGAGCGGGGTACCTTATGAAACCGCCTTGCACAAAATTCTTGAGCGGCGTACGTATAATCTGTCTCAGGTGGAGGAACAAACTCTATGTGCGAGTTAGCAAACGTTTGCGCTCAAGTTATGATTCACCAAAACCAGAGGCGAAAAATCGCTGCACGAGTGAATATAAGGCATCGTCAGGTGTAGCTGACGTGCAAAAACCGTCATATGGAAAGGTTGTCGCGGGTATCAAAATGGGAATCTTGTACCTTGACTATCCGACTACCTCATTAACGATGCAACAGAAGAGCATATAGTTTGTGCCTGTCCCGCTGGGGACCGAATCAGGTTTTTAGAGTTCGGGCAGAGACCACTCACCATACTAATCGGCTTCGTTAAGAAGCTGGGTTTATTTGGTCGAGTGTGAATAGGTGTGAGCCACAATAAACCCTTGCGGGTTGCAGTGGTCGAATATACCCTAACCTAACCTAATAGGTAAAGTGATATGTGTTCTCTCTAAGTTGAGAAATGCCTTGAATAAAACAGCCGCGGTGCAAAAATTTTGTTGGACAGGCAAGAACAGAGGCGACATGTATAATTTCATGTATCATTTCAATTGAAATATTTCCCTTTCGTTAAACTGTTTTGTGTTTACTCAGTCTAATTAAAGTTACTATCCAGAGGATCATATCTACTCTTTTTCTTTTGAACTTGCCAACTAAATTTTATTTTTGACAATTTAAACTATATCTAAAAGATCATTCGAAGCTTCGAAAGGAAACTAGAATCAGCTTTTCTTTATTTTTTTCCATGCAGATTATTTTGAACTATGAATTCATATATGACAACAATCAGTATAACTAGAACCTTATGTTTCACACTTATAACATCGCCTAAATAATGACTTTGATTGAGAAAGAGAATTTAGGTAATACCTGAATATAAATTACATTCATGTTTGCATTTTTGATTTCAGACCACAAAATTAACGACTGACACAGTAACGTAGAGAAGTCTCCTACTTATTGGCTGTTGTTTCGGTTTTAAAAGAGATCAGATCTTATTGACCTTTGTTCGTTAGCTGCTTGGGATGGTTATGATTCCCTAGACGCACGAGAACCGTTACACCTGCTAAGAACGAAGAATGAACTTATTTGCACTGACCTGCCGACATGGACTCCAGGACCACGAAGTAAACACGGCGCCTCCACAAAGAAAAACCACAGTCAATTCATGGAAAAACCCGCGCACCGACAGACAGACAGACGAACCACACTTATCGAAAACTCGCAGCACAGCCGGCCGACGCGTTCTTCAAAAGAGAGCCCACTCGATCCGATAACCGAATCCAATAAACAAACTGACTAACTATATAAATAAATCAGTGATCGGGCTATAGCACTCTTGATGTAAGACTCTTTAACTCGAAGTGTGCTTAACTCGCCTAAGCGTACTCTTAGAGTGTACTCCAAGTGTACATGGCCCTTGTGCCGCGGCCACGGTGCACGAGCCCACTCGAAACGGAGGAGGGGCGTGGCCGCGACGACCTCCGCCAATGACGCGAGGCGCGAACGGCCGGTAGGTGGGTCGGGGCGGTTCGGGATTTTCTCTCTTAGACGGCGGCTACGCAGAGACGATTTCGTTGGGTACGCGACGAGAAAGACGCCCTTATGGAACCGAGCCCTTAGCGAGATTCGTTCTGTCGACCTATTGTGAGGCTCTCGAGATTCGAGAGGGCTGTACTCGACTGTGATATTGTATATTTATATAGTTTTATTGGGCATATTGATTTGAGGTTGGAGAGAACAATTTTTCGAGTATCATGAATTTCGATTTTTAATATGTACGAGATTCGTGGAGGGCTTTTAAATCGCAGCTCTGATGGGTTTGTGTGTCTGTAATTGACAAGCTTCGTTGGGTTCGAGGACAAACAATGCACATGGTTTTTAGTAGATACCTACCTACTTTCCACTAAAAAATATTTCATTAGTGTCATTCAATACATGGGAGTCAATTGTGAAGAGATAGATAATAATGAAGGACGTTTCACTTTTCCAAATAGGTATAGTTCAATCAAGTAAACGATATTGTGCAACCTACCTTCCTTTTATGTTTTGTGAATAATTCTACTGATTCCTCTTTCTTATTTATATATTTCAACAATAGGAAACTTAGGTATTACTTTTATAATTTTATCATACGACTATTTACAACCTCTCTTTTACATCATTTCTAACTTACTGCTTAATTTCGGCGTAGCCAACTATCTACCTGCTTTGTATACTTAGGGCGTTTTTAGCGTTACATCCAACAGCTCCCCTTTAATAGATAATATAGTTACGGCCGATTTCATAAAGAAACATAAAGGTTACTTCAACTTTAAATGATACTTTAATAAATATTTTTGATTTCATAACCAAGTTAAAGTGTCCTTTAAGCCAAAAACGTCCTTCAAAGTTAAATATTAAAAAACTTTGTATTTCATCATTCCTGGAATTTTTATTCGGTACTTTGATGAGCTGTCGCGAATGATAAGAAGCGTTGTCAAGAACTATTACACTATTCGCATCCAAATTTGGGATCAATGTGTTTTCAAACCTTTCCTCGAAAATATCAGCTTCCATGCTCTTATGATAGTCAACATTGCAGTTCTGAAATTTTTTTCCACATAATTTCAAAGAATTCGTAACCCATCCTTTACTTCCTCCGCAATGCACAACGATTAGTCGCGATCCTTTGTTTGCAGGCATGTTAGGCGGCACATTCTCTAACCTTCAGTCCACCCTGTCGTAACTGTGTCGTGAAGTGTCATACCAAGATTCGTCCAAATACTTCGCTGCCGGTTCATTTCTATGTATTGGTTTTTTTGGCCTTTGAGACTGCCGCCACCTTTAAATGTGCACAATATCGTTAACTCCGACTATACATTGCCGGGAATTAAATTAGCTTCACTCCGTGATTTGAAGTTATTTCAAATTTTCTTGATTTTTTCGGATTACTTTCTATTCGTTAGTACTGAATACCTATGAACAATTTTACTATGTTATGCATTTGGTTGAAAAAGAAAAAAATCTAAGGGCTCCAGTAACGAGTGCTTTCTGCTCTTGCAGTGATAACAGCTTGCAAACGACGAGGCATGCTTTGGTTCAGATTCTGGATTACATTCTACGGAAGATGTTCCCATTCTTGTATGAGTAAGCTCATCCCAAACATGTTCAATGGGATTTACTCCTAAACCGAGTTCATCAGTCGCTCGGGCAGTTGCCCTTGAGAGAAATGCTCCAATTCCTACTCTTTTATGGTAGTGTACCATTCAGGGAAGGGGATCCGAACTCCTGATGACTCTTCACCGCAGGCTCCACCCAGCAGTACCATTCTGTTATGTAGACACTTCAGACTCAAAAGCCTACGGCCCCCGTGGTCGTGAGAAGTACAACCGTGGAATAGACGATTTGGGATGCAAACTCCTATGAAGATGAGTAATGTATCGGGACTTCACGTCGAGTTGATAAAGCTCCTCCCGTGTCCACTTCATTACTCCAAACGAGTAGAGTGACATTGTAACGGAAAGCATATTCGTAGCAGCGACTTTGTTCTTTCCCGACAGTTCCGATGACCAGATCTGTTATTATTTGGAGAAGTCCCTCGCCGGAATTCGGGTATTAGTCAAATGTTTTTACGTGGCCGTAAATGTCAACTGGCAGTCTGATGACCAAACGAAAAAGGATTCTTTTTTTGGTGAGTTCTTAATAACTACAGCTCTTTCTTCAGCTCTGTTACGCCAGCGACGCAAAGTACGGAAATCGCATTTAGAAAATGCCACAATTAGATACTTTTTAGGTGCTTTTTAGGTACCGAAGTCAAAAATTAGATGTTCTGTAACTTACACCGCAACTCAATACTCAAAGTTGCGTTGCTAGCATTACATAATGAAAATAATAATAAAATAATGAATGTTAAGGAAACACTATTAGGTGCTAATTGAGTGCTAAACGGTGAGGATCGTGAAATTTTCCAATTAATAAACAAAAACTTCCAATTTCGCTAAATAACAGATCTAAGCACTTATGAAGCACTGTTTGGAACCTTTGGTGTAGTAATGAATATTACTGGAGTTTTTTCCCCAACATCAAATAGATATTTTTAACACNTATTTTTTTAAATTATCGCTAAAATATTCTATAAAAACCAATGACAAAAATCTCAAAACAAAACACTCAGACTTCAGTTGTCAATTCAATGCAAAGGACCAGTTCTTCTTATTTTTTTAGGTCATAATGTTTTGTGACTTCTGAGTTCTTAAAATTACATATGTTTTGATATTTCTCATTACTTTTGATCATATGTTTGATTTGACTGATAAATAATTCAAAAAGATCTAGTTAAAAAGTACTGTTTTTTGTTATAAAGTACTGACGTATTATGAATTCTTGAAAAGTACTGCTTTTAGTACTAAAGTACTGAAAATCCCAACGCTGTCTACAACTCCACAACTACTGACTTATGACATATGTCAGAGAAACTAACTAAATCAGTATTGCAACCATACAAATAATTAAAAGGCCAATTTCGATTGCACAGAACAATAAATAAGAATAACAGTTTTCAGATCCACAGGCCTCATAGGCATTATGGAATCTAGGTTTACTATAAATATCTAGTGAGCAACTAATTAGCACTTTATTCTTTTGCCCTTATTTATTTAGGAACGTACTATAAGAACTCAATACATCAGTCATGGTGGTTTTCAGGTCCATGAGCCCCGTAGGCATTGTAGAATCTAGGTTTACTATGAATATCTAGTGAGCACTTAATTTTGAGTGTCTATGTAAGAGTTTACGAGCATTTCAAGACTTTATTGTATATTGTTGATTTTTTTCTCAAATCAGGTATCCCGAATTTTTTTCCGCTCATTCACGGTTGTTTTCATCTTAATTTCTTGCAAGCACCTTATTGAGCATTCGTCCTCGTTTTCGAAAGACCTGATTCTTAGATCTGTTGTTTAGCGAAATTGGAAGCTTTTGTTTATTAATTAGAAAATTTTACGATCCTCACCGTCTACCACTTAATTAGCACCTAATAGCGTTTTCCTAAACATTCATTATTTCATTATTATTTTCATTGCGTTGCTAGCATTACATAATGCTAGCAACGCAACTTTGAGTATTGAGTTGCGGTGTAAATTACAGAACACCTAATTTATGACCTAACCTAACCTAACCTTACCTAACCTAACCTAAAAAGTACCTAAATTTGGCATTTTGTAAATGCGATTTCCGTACTTTGCGTTGCTGGCGTAACAGAGCCACTTTCTTCAGCGTTTTTCATTTGAAAACTGTAAGTGATGACTACTTTTCCTTTAGTCACTAAGTATGAAGAACATTTAGGTGCCACTTAAAATTTCGCTTCCGTCCGGTCAGGATGTTTTGTGAAAAACTTAATAATCCAAAAATAACTTATAACATGAATGTGGTAGAAAACCATACCAACAGCCTATTTTCGAAGCGATTTGCGTTCTTTCAACAAAGAAAAATAACCACAAATCCATAAAACTTCGTTTCCAATAAAAATCCAAACATCAAAAATAAATGTAGCGAACAATTTACCTTCTTCTCGAAAACCATCATCGCAAATTCAACTTTACACGATTTCATTGATGAATCGCCGGCGAACCCACTGGTCCGCTTTGAAAGTAACATCGAGTGGTGAGAGCAAGTACTTCAGAGTACTTCAGAGCGAATAATGATCCGAAAACGATTATGTTTTCAGCCCAGCAAGCTAGAATGGAATCAAAAACGCCCCATTGTTGCGTATCCGTAACAAAACTAATCGCATGGGACAGCCCATGTGTAAATAGTTCGTAATAGAGTTCGAGATGGAATTTGATAAGGAGAGATGGAGATCTTTCGGGCTTGAATGGATGTTAGTTTAATCCTAAACACATTCGGATTGATGGTATACAAAGATTATGGCACCTAGGGATCTTTGAGAGATTGAAGAGTTAGGAGTTTTTATTTGTGAAGGCAGGAATTTAATGGCTATCAAAGTTTTTTTATAAATATTGTTCTTGAGAAGGGGAAAAGACGATGTATTTTACACCGGATCCGCATGAAATTAAAAAATACTCAAGTTCGAAAGACAGTCTCTAAATTAAACTTTGACATTTGAAAAATGTCACAATAAAATCCAAGCACAATTAAAAGAACTGCATGAATATACATTCACAGATAATGTAAAGACGAATTTCCACCAGATGGACAACAAAACAGTGACTGTGTTCACTGTGTTGATTTCGAAAAAACAGAAACTTGAATTGTCAAAATAAGAAACATTTTGAAAACTTTGTGTCGCGGGCACTGTTTTTGTAAACAACGAAATGTCCCATCGGTAGGTGGAAAGATCAAAAGGTTTTGGTGTTTTGTCTGTGTTTTTGTAAA